CAAACGTGCATTGTTTGTCCAGAGCGCTGTGGTCTGAGAAATATATTATTAAGTGATTTCATCGTTGTATGAGCATCATGCAGAATATTTAACAAACGTAGCTGGAAAAGGCATAACAGGGTTTCTAAACATTTCTCTCTTGTGACCCCTTTTCATCCAAAAAAAGTTTTATGCAATGGCAGGTATATAAGTATATAAAATAATACAAATCAAGCATTTATTGATAATAAACCATAAAGAAATTTATTTTAAAACAATTCATTATTACATGTATAACTTGCCATTTATTGAAGATTAACGCAAATTTGCATACTAATAACATGACTGTTACTTACTTTTACATGAAAATTAAACTGTGTCTAAGTATCTGATACTGCAGAATACATGCCATCTTCAAGGTCCCTTCAGAGTTGACTACTGTTTGGATTTTATGTTCATCAATGCTGAGATTACAGCTTTATTTAAACAGGAAGGACCAAACAGCAGAAAAACATTTGGGGTTAGTTCAGAAATGGTTGGAAAATCTATCCTAATCCCAAACTAAAATCCATTGAATCATTTTTTAAATTATGTCAGCAACTCAAGCAGCAATTTTTAAAATCAAATATTCTGACACACACAATACAGTAGAAAGGTAAACTAATTTGATGCTTATATCCTGGGGGGTAATAATAGGAAAGTATTTCAAAGTTTTTATTTTCCATAAATAAACTGTTTTGTTTCTATATGTACTGAAATTTTTGTTCGTACAGTGAAACACCATAATTTATAACATACAATGTAGTCTTGGATCTGAGCCAAGGTTTCCAGGGCAGCACTGGTTGGTGTCTCCTGGTATGATGGCATGCACAATGCTAAGTGTGCATGTTGTATGTTCAGAACCAAGGCTTCAGTGGAGTCCCACAATGCATTAAGGGTGAGCATAGCCAGAAATACCTCAGACTAATTACATATTTGATTTTGAGTTAATTTGGGGTACTGTACATTTAGAAATGTTTTATTGTTGCCAAGTTTCTTACAACTCACACATTTGTGGGCTCACTGCCCACTTAAGAAGCTTTGGTGCAGCCTACTACCTATTTCAGCTGGCTGATATCAATAAATAGAAATGCAAATACATGATCAATACTTAGAAAGAGAGAGATATGGGTACATACATAGAGTAGCCTATTGCCTCTAGGGTCATAATGGACAAATAAACACAAGAGTAAATCAAACACAAGAAAAACAGTAACGGAGCAAGAAGTTTTTGCTTTTTTAAAAAAGTATTTACATTAGCACATATATGATAGCCTTATGGTATTTTCAAACAGAGTCAAATTTCTTTAATAGCAAACTTTTTTGTAAATAAGAGTAAACCCTAACAAGAAAAGTATAGTGTAGGGAAGAAGGAGGGTAAGTATAGTGTAAATACGTGAATGAGTAAACTAATCGCCTACTATCATCAAGTATATACTTTGCATAAATATATTGCTATGGTTACCGGCAGATAATAGGTTTGCCTACAGCAGCATCAATGGAAACACGTGTGTGCTGTGTGGTGTCACAACTGTTAGAATAGTGATCATGTCCCTAGGGCAGTTGGAGTTTTTCAACTCCATCACAATCTCATGAAACCTCCCTCATGCATGTGGTCCATCATTGTGTTGAATCATTGCTTATTCAATGCACACTGGATTCTGAATGCTCAGTGTCATTTGAATTCTGAAATTTCCAATTCACTGTAATTTACATAATTAAGGATTTACCCTAAAATGGAAGTAGCCTCTATCTTGCCAGATCTAAGACAAGAGTACAGGTTGGAATAAAAATCTTGGGAGCCCGTTGTTATTCAATGGTATCAGGATGGAAGGGGAGGAAAACCTTATGGAGGAAAACCTAAAAGCAGAAAGGCTATGGGGGTTTTAAATGTGTCAGCGATGGTCTGGGCTGCAGCATAGGGGTATACGGCATGAGGCTGGCCCGGGTGTAAATTGCAGGCTGGCTCTTTTTGTCTTGAAGGCTCAACTGGAGTTGGGATTTGAGCAAATGCAGTAGAACCCTTGCCTAAATGCTGTATCAGTAGCTTCAATCTCTTCTGCTGGGCTCACACACACACACACACACACACACACACACACACACACACCTTCCCTGATTGATACATTCTAATGTCTCGATCACCTCAACTTCTCTGTGAGTCCTCCCTCTTTGTCCCAGAACAGGTCATCAGAAAAGAGAACACAAGTGACTCAACCCAGGCCAAGGGATGGGATTCAAGTAGGGAGAGAGAAAAGAACATTTCAGTCCTTTCTCCAAGCTCCAGGCAGGGAGCAGCTTTGCAGGCCACAGGACTTGGGTCTTGGCACTAAGAACCATGAAGATAAGTCCAAGTGCCTGGCAGCCTCAGGAGCTGAAATCAAGGTGACCCTGTTTCAGGAGTTTGCTCTAAGGCAAGACTCTCACTGTAGCTCTGGGAACATATATTGATATCTAGATGCATTCTGGGCCATCAAGATCAGGAAGGAAGTGCTACTGGCATCTAGTAGGATGCTGCAAAGCATCCTACAATGCATAGGATGGCTTCCTACAACAAGGAATATTCTGTTCCAAATCTCCGTCATAATGATGAAAGGCAAGCCCTACTCCAAAGACTTGGGTTTCACACAGAAAGAGCAGGAACACACACACACACACAACCTGCCTGTGCCTCTGGCTGGTATATTTCAGCTAACCATTCTCCCCATAAATGGCTCTGGAAGAGGGCATTAAACTGTGTCCTTAAGAGTGACGCTTTTCAGCCTAACAGTGAGGGTGTGGTGTGAGAATGTAACCCTAAGCAAAGGGTCACACCACTGTATGTCACACTACTGACCCCCTTCTGGCAACAAGGAAGCTGCTAAGAGGATCTGCTCTCAGACAGCTTGCCTGCATTAGTTAATTTTCCTGTCTTTGGGACAAAATACCTGACAGAGGCAGTCTAGATGAAGAGGGTTTTCGCTCAGTTTCATGGTGGGTAAACCATAGCAGAGTTCCCAGTGGTAAGAGAGGCTTCTGCCCCTGGTGTTGAGAGTGTGGCAGCTTGCTCGATGGCCAACCAGGATGCAGAGAACTCAGACTGGAAGCAGAGCTGAGTCCAACCAGTGACCTATTTCCTCCAACTAGACCCGCCTCCTGGAGCTTCCACCACCTCCTCAAACAGCATAGACTGAGAGCCAAATCTCTTAAGGATGAGCAAGTGGGAAACATTTCACATCCAAACCACAGCATTGTCTCTCCAAAGACTTAGGCCATACTGGGAGAAGGGGTTAGTGCAGATCTTCAGGTCCTCATGTCCACCTGAACAACTTCCAAGACCCAGAAGGTTTGCATAATCCAGTCACTTCTTCCCCAGCAGTGTGTGTGTGTGTGTGTGTGTGTGTGTGTGTGTGTGTGTGTGTTTGTGTGTATGTGTTGACAACACACATATAACTACGAAACAGGACTCACTTTAGCAGAATGAAACCTGCCGTGGGCATTGTCTATCTCACCTGTCCATCGAGAGACTCAGCAACACCAGTTCAACATTGTGGGAAGCCAATGACAGACACCCAGTTGGAAAGGAGACAGTGGTGACCCAGTGGGGCATCAGCCTTCACACACACCAAACTGTGAGCCACAGACATTGGGGAAAGAGCTTCAAAATCTAAGGGCCTGACTATGTGCTCTCCGAGGCTCCGTTCACTGACATGGCACGCCCCCTGTATTTTCCCTCCCTTTAAAATGAGGTAAGAATGACAGCTCCTATTTTTGCAGACCACTCACTGTGTGCCAGGAACCTTACAGGAATGTCATTCTCACAGAAGCCCTGGGAAGCTTTTTGCTACCCCCCAATGACACCCTGATGGTGACGAAACGAAGGGAAATGGCTGGTCCAAGGTCACATGGCCAGCAATTGGTAGCACTAGAACCAGAACACAGATTGTATGATAGCAGCTGTGGCAAGGGCAAGGTAAAGAGCTCTCAAGAGCTGTGTTACCAAGGCGGGGTTACAAAGCAAGGCCTCGGGCAGAGGTGGCGTCTATCACCTGTATAAACACAAATTAGGGAATTGTCTCCCACCTGGTTGAAGCTCAGTGCCAAAGGTTCCAGGCAGAAGCCCATGGAAACACTTTAGACCTCCGCCAAACGCCCTGTCACTGTTGGCTGGGTAGGCCGGGACTGGCTAAAAATAGAAGGGATTCTCAGGTCCAGTTCCCTAACAGCCGCAGGCAGCTACCAGTTCCCTGACCTCCTCTCTCTCTCTCTCTCTCTCTCTTTCTCTCTCTCTCTCTCTCTCTCTCTCTCTCTCTCTCTCTCTCAGGCAAGAGCTAGTCTTTCCAAAGGAATGGAGATTTTTAAAACCTCCATCTCAGGCAATATGATTTTTAGTTTGATGCCCAGTGGACATGACTCATGAAACAGACACCAATAGGAGATGGGGGTCCCAGCATAACACCTCATCCTATGGAAAGAACTATCAACATCCATAACCCACCAAAGGGAACAAAGGGATCAAGGCTAAAAGCGTGGCCAACATCTGCACACCCTGCAATTCAACCTTCAGCTCCGTGTCTTTCTTTTCCAAAACTAAGCCAGCTCTGATCTGAAGTTTCAGCGTTGGCCAGTGGCTTCTTAGATGGTGGAAATAAGGCAGCATCCAGGCCAGCAGAAGGGAGAACTTTGCTGGAACCCAGGACCTGCACTTCCTTTGCACGGGCAGGGAGGGTCAGAAAGCCTGCAAAGTGTGGCCTGGGTGCAGTTAAGGGCCCAGCCCGGGGATTTCCTTTCAAAGGTGACTTAGAGGCACTTCAAGAGGGTAGCGCCCTCCCAGGCGGGTCCTAATGGTAAATTTGGCAGAGTCAGCGAAACACGGCGCTGGGCAGCGCCCTCTCCCGCGCCCTCGCCCTCTCCCGCGCCAGGCAGCGGCGAGCACGGGGCCATTTGCAGCACAGGCAACCTCGCGAGCAGCCGCGGCGGGGAGCCGGGAGGGAGGTGGCACCATGGAACTGAAGAAGGACAGCAACGCTGTGGCCATCGACATGCTGCTCATCGTGCACTCCGAGAAGCGGCGCGCGGCTCAAGCCACGCAGTTGGACTCTCAGACAGACCCGGGCGCGCTGCTGCAAAACCGAGGAGGTAACGCGCCTGGCCCAGGTCCTCAGGATCCCCGGGGCACCTCAGCCACCAAGCCCCGGGGTCTGCCCGCCGGGGGGCGCCCCGAACGAGGCCAGCCCAACCCTCTCCCCCACCGCTGCTTGCGCCTGGGCGCCACAGCACCAGTGTCCCTTGGCAACGAGCAGCGCAGCGCGGTGGTTGTCCCAGGTTGACTCCCCATGCAGGCCTATAGGTGCTCTGTCATATCGGAAGCTCTGTCCTCCCGTTATTCCCTAAGGGATGCAAAACACGTTGGAAAACGCTCCGCGGAAAGAAACCGGGGCCTTAGGCTGATCTCATAGCAGAGGCCTAGTAATCACGCAGCAAGCTGTAATCCATAGAGCACCAGGGACCCCAGAGGATCTTTATATTGAGTCAGACTTTGAGATAACTCAGAGCCTCGGTTTCCCCTTTCTTGAGCCACTCTTGCAGCCTCCAACAAATATAAGGCCTGAATGTGTAAAGGGAACATGAGCTGGGGGTGTGGTGGAGTGGGGTTTGACGTCTTCTGACCGCACTTGAATTTAGCTTCAGTTTGACTTGTTCTGCAGACTTGATGGGAAAAACGAAAACTGACAAGTGAATACTTACAGGGTGATTGCAGAAGGCAGGATCCGCCCCTATTCACTATCTACACAGCTTGAATAGAGTATACCTGGTGACAAATAGCAGTTCAGGGAATCCCTGAGAATTGGGGGAGGGGTCGCTCATGGTGCTGGTCTTGGAGACTTGAACTAACCAAAGCAGCTCCTGTCCCCACAGTCCCACTACACTCTAACTGCTGTGAGCACTCTCAGCCTCGAGTCTTTCTTTTCCAAACTGCCCCCTTTCTAGCTCTCCAGGAGCCCCATCTCTAGCGCTGGTGGGTCAACACTGTCTATGGAACCACTGTCCTAGCAGGTCAGGTGGGTGGACAGTGGGTGTCCCATGTACACAGAGGCTTTGGGGGCAGAAAAGCCAAGAGGGAGCAGCAGGAGGGGTCCCAAGGAACTGCGGAGCTGAAGGGAGAGTACGAGGCAGCAGTCATCTTTCTCTGCATTGTTGTCATGCATTTTCTTCTCAAGAACTGGTGCAGGGTTAGCTTCGGAGACCCCTTAACTCAGCTCAGAGGCTTCCTCCAAGACCCGCTTTGGGTCTTTCGGGGAGAAAGAAAATGTCTTCTGCCTTTCGGTGGAAATGAGATGGTTGCTGTCCCATGTAACACAATACAAAATATTGCTCCCCGTGTGTAGGGAGTGAGGTCCAGTTCCAAGTCAGGGTAATCCGTCCCCACTGCCCAGTAGAGTCCCTTTGCATCCTGTCTGTCCCAAAGTCACCAGAGAGGATAAAGAGAGAAACCCTGAAATGTTGGGTATCAAAACTGCCCTCCAGGAACCTGAAGCCTACCCAAAATGCCCATGACTCCAGACCAGTATACGTACTTTGGCCCTGACTCGGGGGTAAAACAGCCCTACTTGAAGGCACTGGTATTTTTCAACATTTTCCCAGTGACGGTTTCTTGAAAATGCTGTGCAGTGGAACATGTCCCCTATTCCACACCAAAGTGGAAAAGGAGGACGGTGTATAGCCTCCAAGGTCTACAGCCCATGGAAACCCTAGGTTTCCATGGCTATACTGACCAGTGTGTATCCACACTTTGGGACACAGCCTGGGGGAGAAAAGCATTGAGTCACACTACTTGTTCTTAGGCCTCACACAAATGTACAAGAACCCAAAAGAGCCCTGCCGACTTTCAGGTGTCTTCCTGCCCCCTGCAAGCTAGTTCCCCTCTGAGCTCAGAGCAGCTGGAGGAAGGCCTGAGCCCTGTGTCAGAGGAGAATAAAGTTCAGTTATTGTCACAAGGCAGACAGTGTGGCCTTACAGCCAGGAGGAGTCGGGGAGCGAGAAGGCAAGGAGAGCCACGGGGGATTTAGACTGCAAGGCTGACAGGGTCTCTTTTTTTCTGTGGAATGCCAGCATTTTCCCACCTATTTCTTAAAATAGTACTTCCCACAAAGCAGACTGTGGAGAGACTTTTGCAGAAAGATCAGGGGATGGGGAGGCTGAAGAAGACTTGGAGGCTTCTGAGTGAGCGAAACATTAGAGAGCCAGGCTGGAGACTGAGCTTCTGGGAACACTGCCATCAAGTGTGCCCCAGAGCTGGTCTTGTGGTGACTTCTCTACAGCCACCAAGGTACACCAGACAGTCTTCCCACACTAGAAACTTGTTTTTATTGCGGTGGCCCCCACTGGCTGGACATACATCATCTCTGTTCCAGGGACTCAACCGCTCAACTGTCACTTCCAGCCACTGCCCGGGAGAGAGCTTCCCTTCCCTTCTGCATTGCACCGACCCCAGAACGAAACACAGGTGCATCGGACAGGTCATGCCTAGACCACACAGACCCATACTATAGCTGCAAGGGAGGCTGGGAAAGTAGGCAGCTGTCACCTTCCACTCCCATAGGGACAGCCTTTTTTCCATGCTCTCTCACCCCAGTGCAAGACTCCCCACATACAGAAATGGGCAGGCAAAACAGATAGAAAGCAACGCTTTTGTACTTGTGTGTTGGAGATACGGGAATGGATATTAGGCATCTGTATGGCAAAAATTCCTCCTGGAAAATCCTGATAGCCAACTTGCCATCAGTAAAACCTCCCGTTCTACCATTTTAAAACTATTTTTTAACTTAGGAGTTGCCTTCATTCCCTCAAGTGTGTCATATTGAAGGGCAGCCTATCTCAGATCCTGAGAGAACTGGTTCCTACAGCCTTGTTTAAGACAAATGGGTATGTAAGTGGTACAGTGGTGCGTGGCACCCGCCCTAGGGTTCCCTCCACCAAGTGTCTCACACCAATCCTTATCTTACAGGATTCCAAGGTGTCAGAAACGGAATCCGGAAATGGCAAGAATTGGAAAGAAACGGCTTTCAAGGTAAATCTCTTTATCTCTCTATTTTCTCTTCAGTCTCTATAATTCAATACCCTGAGAAATAACTGGAAGGGTTGGGTTGGGTTGTGTTCCCTGGGAAACTGGCCCTAATGAGTAAAAATGGCTGCTTGTGGCTCAGCCAGGCCTTTAGGTCACTGTGAGCCTGGAAAGCTCTCCCTGGCATCAGGGGTCCTGCTTTTCTGGAGGCTGCAGCTGGAGAACAATGCAGTGAACCATTTGTTTGCTGGCTGAGCTATCAGAGAGGATTTGGCTGGGTTTGAGGTAGTGAGGGTCGTGTGTGTTCCCACCAGAGGCAGGGCTGTGTGTGTTCCCACCAGAGGCAGGGTTGCTCATGTCACAAATATCACCAGCTTTAAAAGGTTTTTCATTTGTTTGCTTGTTTTTGTTTTTTCTGAATAGACTAGAATAGTGTGGCCTTCCTTGCAACAGTATTATTACTTGAGGCCTGGGCAGAGCCAGGGTACTATAGACCCCTACTGCTTTGGGCCCCAGAATACAATAAGAAGTTTGTTTCCAAGGCCTCTTCTCTCTGGGTCCAGGCAGTGCTCTATCCTGGTGGCCCAGAACCTCTCTGGAACAAGAAGGATGGGCCAAATACAGTGGGCCTTGTTTTGTGTTCCTCAGACATTGCTTTCCCCAGTCTTCCTGTCCCAGAACATGGTTGGGGAGCTCCATCAGAACCCAGCCATGTGAGCCATGGAATCAAATGCCCCACTCTCCACAAATGGGAAAACAAGAGAACAACTGAATAAGAGTAAATAACCCTGCTTTGCCAGCCTTCAGACAATGGCAATAAAGGAAAATCATAATCCAAAAACTAAACTCGTCCATACGTTTATTCCTTCAATAGCTATCTTTAGCATTTTAATTTTGTGCCAGGCACAGTTCAAGTGTTGGAGATTAAACAGTTAACAAGTGAGTCAGAACCCTGTCCTTGTAGGGCTGGGTTCAAATGATTGCAATTTCCCTGTGTCCCTTACCTTGTTCATTGGAAGGAGTCATCTTTGAGATGCATACACACCAGCTAAGGAGCCCACCCTCTGTGTCCTGGCAAAAGCTTCCTTTTTTTGGTTTGTTTTTTGTTTTTTTGAGACAGGGTTTCTCTGTGGCTTTGGAGGCTGTCCTGGAACTAGCTCTTGTAGACCAGGCTGGTCTCCAACTCACAGAGATCCGCCTGCCTCTGCCTCCCGAGTGCTGGGATTAAAGGCGTGCGCCACCACCACCTGGCCAAAAGCTTCCTTAATTGGAGCTGATCTATAGGGGAAAGACTCCACTTGGGGTGATTAAGGTTGAAATCCTATCTAGCAAAGTTTTGATGTAGGCCAAAGAGAAGCCTAAGAATGAGACTCCAGAAACTTTCAGCCATCGGAATGGCCACTCAGGGCATGTGCACATGCATGCTAGGTTCATGTGTGATTACATGAGGGAGCAAAGTGAACCACCGGTAGGTGCAAGGAGAATATCCTTGTGTGTTGCAGCTCTCTCTTGCCTTGCATGAGTCATCTGACAATCATTTTAGGGCCTCTCAGGAAATCCTGAAGTCATTCTACTTTGAGAATCTTCACAGCTGAATGAGAGGTTAGTGAAAAGACATAACAAAGCAGAGAGCAATGCAGTAACTCTTGAGACAGTTATAAAAGACTCTGGGGTTCTTTGTATCAGTCCACAGAGGGTGATTTAAATAGTCCTTGCAAAAAAAAATCTCAGGATTGATTATTTGGTATAAATGCATGGCTGTCAAGAGTGTCTACAGAAGTCCTAAATCCAGGAAACACGATGGTTCCACCGTCCCACCAATATGTGTAGTTTTAATGGAAGACCTTATACTTTTTAAATGGCATGCATGCATGGGGAAACAGAAGTGCCTATTCCATGGTTTTTGACGCCAGGATTCAGGACACTAGCATTGAAACTGACCTTATCTCATATGTGCCTTGTTGGTACCTCAGCTATCTAGTCCTGGTAACCAACAGGCTGTCCAGCCCTGGCAGTCGGAGGAATTTCATCTCAGAAGGAAGTGGCCCAGTGGCATGTACTGACAGAGTGTGCACCAGTGTGACTGACCATGGTATTGATCCTAAAGGGCACATTTGTCCTCTTGTTGCTATTCTATGTACTCTTTGGGCTTGGGTATTGGTGAGAGGAAACGTGGGGAGCCTGGAACACTCCAAACTTCTGGAAGCAGCAGGTGTTTGGGCTGAGCCACCTCTCTCCATAGCTTGCCCAGCAACGGGCTTCCCCTGCTGTGATTGGCTGCTCTCCTTGGTCCTGGCTGAAGTCTGCCTAGCAGCACAGTGTCTGATGCCCTCCAGCTAGAGAGCAACCACTTGTGCAGCCCTGGCTATAAATACCCGACAGGAGCTGTGCCAGCCAATCACCCTCCTTGAGGATTCCCTTCCAAGCTCCTGTTTCCTCGTGGAGGTACAGCCAGCTGTGCCCACAGAAAGCAGCCTCCCTGTCCTCGCCTAAGTGGCCTAGAGCTCCAGCCCGGCAATGCCATCTTGGCACACAATGACAGTGGGTCTGGTCTCAGCTAGTCAACCACACTCTGGAAGCCTTGGCTCAACCTGTTGATGGGAGAAGGTTGGAGCATGCAGGTTCTCCGAGGCAAGCCCCTACTGTGTGGATCCCAAGTCTATCCCAGCTCAGTGCCTCACCTACCCACCTTGAGCAGCTACTGCTAGGAGCAGGCATGGGAAACAGCGAGTGGCCTATATGATTGTCAGCACTGTTGAGGACAGAAAATCTAGAGATATGCTAGTTCCCAGGCTGAACCATTGGTTCCCCTGAATGAAGCTCACTGTAGGCCACATGGAGATGGTGATGGGTAAGGGAATATCAGTGCGGGAACTTCCTTCTGCCATAATCCTGGCCCTTCCCCAGACTCTTCCTACATCCATGAAGAGGAGGTTCAGGGGCTGCCTCAGTAAGGACGGTCCACAGCCACAGAGCAGCCATAATAAATTCATGCCTAGGAAAGGCAAAAGACCATGGGTTCCCCATGCTGGCCTGTAGCAAGAGCTAGGCATCTCTCTTCAGCAACCTGACCCTACTGGGCTATAAGGACATGTAAATATCCCCAGTGGGTACAGAAAAGTCAAACATGTTGAGTGTCCTGTAATATTGGTGAAATTAAACCAAACCGAGTATCTTCCCGTCTCTGAGGCTAGAGGCAGGTTGCTGCCTTTGTTCCTCAAAGGAAGAAGGAAGATGAGCTAGGAGTTGGGGAACTTAGAGTTCAAGTACCATGTTGAAACATCCCAGCCCACTCCACAGAAAGGTGTGGTGCTCAATCAGGCATCTGTGTGTGAGAGAGAGTTTTGGAAATTGTGGCCAAATGTCTGGAGTGGTGGTTTCATAGACCACTGGAGTGAATCCCAGCCTGGGAAGGCTCCTGCTGCAGGGGTGTGCGCTTGTGGACTCCCAGGAGTATAGCTGGGTGAGCCCACAGATGTTCACACCATGGCAGTATGCACCAGCTCCCTCTGTCCCCCAATGAGGAAACATTTTACCATGGTCACAGTGGTATAATGTAACACCTCCTTTGTCTTTCTTAAATAGGAAACTTGTCGGAGAAGCAGTGCCTTCAGCAGCCTCAGGTCATCACTTCCTATGACAACCAAGGTAAGAGACGCATTGATAACTGCCATATCTCCTGTGACTGTGTGTCTGGCTCTGCTGCCCCAGCCAAAGAACACAGGATATGGAGATCAGGGAGCAGATCCTCTCTGATCCGTGGAGATTGGAGCATCCTTTCGTCTCGCAATGTCCCAGAGAAACTGTGTGGTCCAGGCCTAACCTCCCTGCCCCCAGTCAAGAAATGAAGGCCCCGGGTCATAGAACCCAGTCATCATAGATACCATTGTCACTGCCGCAGCTAACCATTCACTGAGTACAAACCATGTGCCTGGGACTCTGCCAGCTAATACTAACTAGGTGGCAGTCTCACTGCTCTACAGATGAGGAGACCAAGGCTTAGGATGGTTATCCAGCAAGAGTCAAGGCCAGCTCACTGGTACCCTTACCCTACAACTCCAGCAAGGTCTCAGCTGTTAACCTTCACATGGCTGGGCTTTCGCAGCTCCCTGGAAACTGATCTCCCCCTGGCTCCCAGGATCCAAGTCCTCCCATGTCCTGAGTCACAAAGGGTCCTTGACCTCTGCTGAAGCTGAGCCTGCTGAAACATGTCACTTAGTGCTGAGTCAGCTGCAGCAAGGGGAAGCAACCTGGTCCTTCCTTGAATGTCCTTGCTTCACAAGGACTGCTCAGGGTGCTCAGAAATGGCAGGCAAGGGCACTGCTGGTCAGGCTGAGTCCTCAGCTGTCTGAATCTGAGAAGAACGTGAGATGGAAATCAGGGTTCCTGAACTATGGCTGGAAGAGCCACACCGTGGCTCTTCACCAGATGCCTGCGGGTCTCAGGCTCAGCCCACAGAACTGGCTTCCACTGATGATGCCATAACATAAAAGGAAACCCAAGGGACCCATGCCACCAAGGGACACAGGCATGCCCCCTCCTGAAGCACAAGTGCTGATGCAGGCCATGACACATCTCTGAAACTGACTTGGCTGCACAAGGCTCCTGACAGAGACACCTTGCTAGAAAGATCATGAATGAGTGGCCATTATCTCACATGGGGAATAAAACAAAGGCTCCAAGATGAGTCCATCCTAGCGAGAGGGAAAAGACTGAAGGAGAAATTAAAGTGGGAGGGATGCTGGGGCCGGGGCTGCAGATCAGTCTCCTGTAGCTCATTGGCTAAGAACAGCAAGAAGACCTTTGCCTTCAGCTTCTGGGAGTCCAAAGCCCAAAGTCAGTTCCTCTCGGTAAAAGGCCGGTGTCAGCAGGCTGGGACCTTTGAAGCTCCGGGAGGGAATCCATCCCTTGCCTCCTGTTCCTACAGGCTGCCAGCATTCCTTGGCTTTATGAATGCCATTCTGGTCTCTGCTTCCATTATCACATCGCCTTCTCTCCTTAGAAGTAGGCAGTTCTCCCTCTTATAAAGTTTTATGTGGTCGCATTTAAGGCTCAACAAGATTCCCAGAATAATCACTCTGTGATCTATAGTTAAGATGCATCTGCAAAATCTCCCTTGCAGCCAGAGAACCTGTGTTGATCTCCTGAAAATTCACGATAAGGAAAAATTGTAAACAGAATAGATGGGGCTGGGGTGTAGCTTAGTGGTTCTACTAGCATGCGTGAGGATTTTTGTTCTGATCTCCAGCACACACGCCTACCCCCAATGAAAAAGGAACAGGTGAACGATAACTGGGTCTTGTCATCTGAATGACAGAAGAGGTGGTGAGGCAAAGACAAGGGCATCTGGGGAGAGCGTCTAGCTGGGAGCCATGGCATGAAGGCACCACCAGGCAGGCATGTGTCTGCTAGGTGTGGAGAGTGTGTGGCTGTGGCCAAGGGAAAGAGGGAAAGAGAAAGACCCCATCAGCCCCCACAACAGCTTTCCTGGCAGATACAGCATAGCATGGACCAGAGGTGGGACATGAGGTGTGTGCTGGACACATTCCATGGAAAGTTTCCATCTCTCAAAAATGAGAGATGTATGGATAGATAAAGGGAGAAACTGAGGCACAGAGCCATCAAAACTGCTTGCCCCAAGTTATGCAACTAGATAAAAACAAGACAGATGCAGGTAGTTGAACATGTCTATGTACTTCTCAAAGCCAAGTGGCCATAACTTCTGTACCACACTGCTCCCCCGACAGGACAGGGACCTCTCTAGTAGGTTGAATATAACTTCCCTGCCCCACCCCAGCAAGAAATGCAAGGCTCTGGTTGAGAATGGTTCATCTTTTCCTCTCCTCAGCAACTTGTGCAGTGGCAGATGGTATACAGCAGGTGATAAAAAGCACCTTGGAAACATGAATCTTAGCACAAGGGGGCTCTAGAAGATGGCTCTACAGTGGGCATGGAGTTGGATGGCAGAAAAGAGATTGCTAGGAGGCACTGTGACTTCAGGCCCTCGGGGTTATGGCTGAGGAGTCGGCTTTGAAGTCATACCCACCATGCGTGTTCCCAGCTTGCATAGCTGACTGGTTGTCATCCTGAGTGCATACAGCATGCATCTCTTCAGATGTCGCTGTGCATGACTCGTTTGAGGGTGCCCCTAAGATGACAGATGCTTTAACTAAAAGTATGTCCAAGACTGTATGTCCAGGATGTACCCTCGTATCAGCGTGTATAGAAAGATGCAATGGTGCCATGTGTCTAACATAAGTCCCGGGCTCCTCCACACACCTGTCTACCCCCGTGTGCATGTATACTCACACCCATGCACTCATGCTTGCCTGGCAGTATTTGTTCATTGATCAGTGCCCCAGGCAACCAATTCCAATCAGTCAGAGTTAATGAACAACACAAAACCCACTTGCCATGCCCACATTAGGTATTCTGAGTAAATTAAGCCTTTAAACAAATACTGATTAAAACCTGAGCTATTAGGAGAGGTGTCATTTGAGAGATGTCACCTGACAGGGTAAATGGCAGGCCCAGGACAGTGCCCACATAGACTTGGTACCCTGTATGCATCTCTGCTTTTGAGAGAGAAAGGAAGGAGAGCCAGCAGAGTTTAGAAAAGGGCCAGTCTGGAAGCCACTTCACGGGGCTAGCAAGAAATAATCCCTAGAATGCTTTTACTAGATGCCCAAGGCTGCAGTTTCAGGAGGTTATTTGGATGGCAAATGAACTGCTGGGGAAGGGTGCATTGAGGGAAGCCAGCCAGGCCACTCAAAGTCCCAGGAAGGATCTCATCAGTTGTTTGGTGGTGAAGGTTGGTTATTGCTTGGTGGTCAAGGTCAGTGTGCCTGGCATCTGCTGGTGATTTAGCTGACTTGAATTTTGCCCTAGACCTTGCTTCTCTATGATGAGCTCTGGGACAGGTTAATGCTCTTTATTAAAATCTGAGTTTTATTTGATCTAAAAATGAGGTCGGTGCACTATCTCCCTCTCTAGTGAATGCTGTCTGTCTTGACACAGGGTGAGGACCCCAGGCCATTTCTGGGGTATCCAGGTATGTCTCTCGGATGCTCTCCTCAATCTCTGAGGGGGGCACATGACTCCAGAATGGGGATGAGAGCTCTACTGCATTCAGCAGCACAGCCTAGGGATAGCCAGGTCCTGGGCAGGAGACAGAGCAAAGATTTGCAGGGGGAGAGAGGGGATCCAGATGGTGACAGAAGGAGCTGCTGGACTACACCCCGCCCCTAAACATGAGGCCTCAGGAGGGCCACAATCGTGGTTTGTTTCTCAGCCCAGTCATTCTTAACAAAGAAACATGGCTGGATGGGGATTAGCTAGATGTACCTAAATTAAGAGACATGAGAGGAAGAGGTTGATTGCTGAGCCCCAGGCTAAAGAGCTGTTCACCTTCATGGCTCCTTTAAGGTTGCAGAGGTCGTTTCAGCCCAGCAATCTCCAAACTGTGTTTGGAAAAACAAAACAAACAACAACAGAAAGCAACAATATCACTGGGTCAGACAGACCTGTTTGCTGGAAGGGCTGAGAACATTTGGGATACAACCTACAAAAGAGTGTGTTGGGGAACATTTCACACTTCTTTCACAAGGCGTCTTGTGAGCACACATCACTTTGGAAAACACTCCAGAAAGAGTTGCACAAGAAAATGAAGAAGCCACGTTAACCAGGCCCACAAGGGGAATACACTGTGGATAGTGGTGGCACTGATCCTCTGACCGGAATGGGTCCCTGAATTCTGAAGTACCCAGCTTCTTCATCACAAGGTCACAAGGCCAGTGTTCACTGACAGTGAATGTGCTAGATATGACACTTTAAAGATGAACGTGAGGCTACAGAGATGGCTTAGAGGTTAAGAGCACTTGCTTCACAGTCATGAGGACTAGAGTTCAGATCACAACACCCATGTAACAAGCTCTCAAATGCCTGTAACGCAGCTCCAAAAATGGCAGAGACCAGGGGCTCTCTGGGGCTTGCTGCCTTCCAATCTAGACAAAGCACAAGCCCCAGGTTCAAAGAGAGACCCTGCCTCAAAGAAATAGGTGGAAAGAGATAGAGGACACCTGATGTCCTCTCTCAGCCTTTATACACACATAAATAAATGCACAGTACATGCACACACACACACACACACACACACACACACACACACACGCATGTACTCATATATACAATGTACATACCCACACAGATATACACATTAACTAATTGATTAGTTAATTAATAATTAAATATTGTAAATGAATGTTAAGCCTTTTGACCTGGGGAGAACATTCTATTTTGGTCTCTTTGTCATGCAAAGCAGGTTTTAATAGTACATAAGAAAATCAATATTGTTTTTCTACAAAAGAAAGTAATGGCAATATATTTAACAAAGGATTAGTAAAAGGAACTCTTTCTTACAAAATCATTCAGGGAACCACAATAAATCAGTAATATGTATGTGTATATATACATTTGTGCACACACACACACACACACACACACACACAGTCAGCACACAAAACACAAATTAAATAGCAAATAAAATATTTTTAAAACCCACTACACTGAAAATTAAATATATAAAACAATAAGGTACTCTTCATTAATAAAAAGTTAAAGGATTTATGAAAGCAGGTGCCAGTGAGCTTAGCAGGCATGTTTGTGTTATCCACCACCACAGGTTTCAGCTGCTAGCGGCATTGGTAGCTTCCAAACCTACTGGTCTGCTGGACGATCACTGTCCACGCCATCCCCAGCTGATCTGGGCTCTTGGCTGGGCTGGAGCATGTGCTGGCTGTCAGCTGGTGGGCTGGCTGGAGACCAGCTGGTTTCAGATAGCCTCACCTGAGCAGCCCTGCTCTGCTCCCTGTGGTCTCTCACCCACAGTCTGGTGCACACACAGCACTGTGGCGGGGATGCCAAGAGTGCAAGCAAGCATTGCAAAGCCTCTCCAGGGCTCAGCTCAAACCTTGAGTGGTAACACGGCTTCTAGCACATGCTAATTGGCCATACTAACTCTTGAGGTCTGCCCACATGCAAGGGCTAAAACAAAACCCTTCTCGATGGGAAAAAAAGACAAAGTGTGAACAGTTTTGCCACCAACCACAGCAAGAATGATGGGGAGTAAGCATCACCCCCATTGGTAGAATCATAAAGCAATGGAACTATCCAAGGGAAAGTTGGCCAGTGTCAAACAGAAGCCTTACGAATTCCCTGTTCTCTTGAATAAGTGTTGAAGAATTCACTCACAGGGACTGATCTGAAAGTGTTAAAGATGCCTGTATCCTCATGTTCACCACATCATCCTTTATCATAGCAAAGCACTTGGGAACTGTGGGGTACCCATGCACACGGGGAGTCTTAGTGAATACTCTGTGAACATGTGACATGGTGTGTATTCTACTACCAGGGGGTGACCTTCTCTCCAGCCTCACAGAGGCCACACCCGTGTGATGTTCTCTCGATCCTCACAGAGGCCATGCCAGCCTCAGACGGTGCTATTTAATACTTCTCTACAGTGGTTGAATTTTGTTTTATTGGTCCCTTCCGTCACTGACAGAGGAGCTCTGAAACCTCTGACTATAATGTATATTTGTCCATTCATCTTTATAATTCTGTGAGTTTTAGTTCATGTGTTTTAAAGCTTTGTATTCAGGTGAATCTATAATTGGCATTTGCCACATCTTGATAAGCTGACTTTTTTTTTCACTCTCTTGTAACACTTCTCAATCTCTGATACTTTCCTTACTCTGAGTGGGTCTGTCACTGAGCAAATTGTCTTGGATTCACTGAATCTGAAATGTCTTCATTTGTCTCACATGATATTCTTATTGGACAGGGACAGTTAATTCCTTTCAGAATTTTTTTAAAGATTCTGCATCCCTCTGATGTGACTTCTGATGAGAACTCTGTAGCAATTAAATATGTAATGTATCACTTAGCCTCAGCATTTTCAGGGGGTTTTCTTTCAGTGACGTGATTACATCATGTCTGGGCTGAATCTTCTTTTGTTTACCCTATTTGGAACACTTTAAACTTGAGCCCATATGTGTATGTCTTTTGTTACATTTGAGTAGTTTGTTATTCTTTGATACTTTTCTGTCTGCAATTGATGTCAGTGACATGAACAATGGACTTCTGACTGGTCCTACAGTCCCTGAAGAGCTATTCTGTTGGCTTTCCCATGGTTCAGATTGGACCCTGTGTACTGTTCTCGGGCTCTTACCTTTGTCACGGAGAACGTTGTAACCCGTCTTCTATTTCAGTGTGAAAATCTTCACCTGGTTCTTTACAACTTCCATTTCTTTGCTAGTTCTGTCTTTCCATTTATTTCAAATTGGTTTGCCCTTACTTTGCAGAGCATGGCTGTTGTGTCATTTTAATGTCTTTGAGTCAAATGTGGGTTGCCATGTGACTGACATTGGTTAGTATCTTTTCTTTCTCAAATTGAGATCTTCCTGAGTGTTCTGCTGAATAGTTTTAAGTGGTGGCCTTTGGGCCTGCTGTTTGTGTGCGCCATGTAGTGGCCTTTGCAGGGCCTCCCTGCCCTCATGTGCCATGCAGTGGCCAGTTCAGAGTAAGACATTGGTCTTCCCCAGCGTTTAGTGTTCAGGCTATGGTATGGTGCATGGGGTGAGACCTGTGATGTACAGCTCAGAGGTGACCATGGGATCTTATCTGTAACTTTAGGAATTACACCCTGCAGTCTGCCTTTATCACCACTTCCTATTCCTGTAGCCAAAAATCTGGAGCTTTGGTCTTTTCACTTGTGTTGATGGACAGTTCAGACATGGTGCTTTTTCTGTACTTTTTTATAACTGTGTCTAGGAACAATCAGCAGGAGAGATGGGGAGGAAGGGAGGGAGGAAGACAGAGACAGAGATAGAGACTATGTATGCCATGTATTCCTGGCCAATAACTTCACATATTTGCCTGTGGGCTGAATCAGGAAAATATAGGATAAAGGAAAAACACAGTAGAGGACATCCCAACTCCCTGCAACAATTAGGGGTCCCCATTCTCACTCTTCAAGTAGAAATTGAATTTTTTTCTCTAGTGTTCTTTTACATCCATTGTGCACTTTTGGGTTGGGGATGCCTTTGACCAAGTATGAAGAAGGCTAAACTCATTCCTGATGTCTCACACCATGTCTTAGTTAGGGTTTCCATTGCTGTGAAGAGACACCATGACCACAGCAACTCTTATAAAGGAAAGCATTTAATTGGAGTGGCTGCCTTACAGTGCAGGGGTTTAGTCCATTACCGTCATGATGGGAAGCAAGGCACATGCAGGCAGACTTGGTGAGTTCTGCACCTTGCAGGCAACAGGAAGTGGTCTGTCTCACTGGGCATGGCTTGAGAATGAGACCTCACCTCAAAACCCGCCTCCACAGTGACATACTTCCTCCAACAAGGCAATACCAACATAGTGCCACTCCCTATGGGGGCCATTTTCTTTCAAACCAGCACATACCCTGGTCATTACCACCCCACACCACGCCCATTCTTTTCAGATGCTGACTTCCCAGGGTCTGCAGGTCTCCCCAACCCCCAGTATGCTATTTCAGGTGACAGCTGCACTAGAAGGGTAGGGAGTACTTGCATTCTTTGTTTGAGTTGTTCTGAAAAACACATATTAGCTGCATAGTCAACAGAAAGATCTAAAATGGAGCGTGTTCTGTTGTTTGGACATCTGTCATGGCTGGTGTGCCCTTCCTGGCAGGATTAGGCTGAAGATGTCACCTCCCCCCTTTCAGGTACTCAGCTGACCGTGGAAATCCACCCCCAGGACGCCATGCCCCAGCTCCTCAAGAAGTTCTCTTTGGCGAAACGTACGTATGTGTGCAGGGCTGCTCCGTAGAGGGCTGGCAGGGGGAGTGGGGGAGTCAGATTCTAGCCTGGACATCTTCAGAGAAAAATCAAAGAGGGGTTTGAGCCTACAGCCTGGAAAAAGGCTAGACTGTGCTAGCCACACCCATTGCTTTGGTTCCTCTTCTTATTGCTTTGACCACCTGACAAGAATCAACTTGAGGGAGGATTGATTTGGGTTCATGGTTTGAGGAGACACAGTCCACCTTGATAGAGAAGGCGTGGCAGCAGGAAGCTCCATGACGGCAGAAGTGTTCAGCTGGACTCCTTACTGCCTGCCGTGGTGGTCAAACAGCAAGCAGAAAGCAGACAGGAAGTAGAACTAGGCTACAGAGACTCAAGACCTGCCCATCAGTTACCTACTTCCTCCAGAGAGGCAACACCTGGTGAAAGTTCTTCATCCTTCCAAAAATGGAATCTGGGGGTCAGGTGTCGGAACACATGAGTCTATGGGGCATTTCACAGTCAGCACAGCACCCAGATCCTGCTGTTCTGTGTCTCTGTAAGGAGACCTACGTGATGCAGGCAACTAATGGTGCATTCCCTCCCCAGACTGTTGCTACCAGTGTTTTAATATGCCATCTGTGGGCTGCCCAAATCATGGCAGGCATGGTGCTAAGAACTTCCCATGCCTCAGCCTTGTGACCTTTACGCATATGTCAGTATTCATCCCAAGTTTTGCAAGCCAGCAAAGTGAGGCTCGGAAAGGAAACGTGACTGTCCAAGAAAGTTATCTAACCAAGAGATTAAAAAACACAGGCCCAAGTCTGAAGCCTCTGGCTTTAGCTAATGGCAGTTGTCATTATATGTAGGCAGGCAGGAACACGATGACCCTCCATCCCTGCTCTGTCTTTACCCTGTCTCTTGGACTCAAGGAGGCCTCATGAGGAAAGCAGGCAAAGGAGGGGAGGCTGCAAGAGCAGCCAGGCTCAAGTCCCTCCCATGTCCATTTAATGTCCCAAAGCCCTCCAAGGCTGTCCTTGCAGTCCCCAGCAGTCAGGCCCCCCCAAGAAGGCAGTGTAGAATAGGTCCAGGGTCCATGGCATGGTTTTGCTTTACCTTCTTTTTGGATTACTTTTTTTCATATAGAAAAGGGAAGAAAATAAGTAAATCTCCCTTGCAGGATTATTATAAGTTCCCTGTTAGTGCTACCTACTCTGAACCCTATCATGCCATCTGAAGATGGGGGAAGGGGGAGGTTTCCAAGAAAGAAAAAAAAAAGAACCTATTTCTGGGAATGGCAAGCACCTTCTCAACTTTCAGTTCTTATATTTACAGCCTTAATTGGCTTCTAAGGGCAGAAGCCACCTGCCTTGGCGAGCCCACCCCCAACCTCACATGGCTTCATTAGAGACTTCATCTTCCTGACCTGGCTTGGAACCAGTGGCAAAAGCTCCTTTGCTGTTTTCCCAGGGACTCTCCAGTTGGCTGCCATTCCATCTTAACTTCCCAGAATTCACAGCATCAGGCCACTTCCTCTGAGGGACACATGACTTTCTGGGCCCTGAGGTCCATACCATGACTTTCTGTGCCTCTATTGTCATTCTTCCCCACAGTCAGTTCTTGTCTTGGGTGACCTAGAAGGAGCTGGTCTATAACCTCAATGTCTGCAGCTATCTTCCAAGATGGAGGAGGGGTGGACCACTGGACCACAGCTCCATGTGGGCCTGATGGAGGCTATAAAGCGTAAAGATCAAAGACCATCTGGCTCGGCTCAAAGACCCCAGATCCCTTACCTGTCTCAGTCCCTGTTCCAGTCTCTCCTCTGCCCCCGCTGACCTCATGGAAGATCTGGCCACAGTGTGGTGGTGGGTGGGGATGGGAATGTGAGGGAAATCGTGAAGGGTTTGAGCAGCCAGGACTGCTGCCTAGAGAACCATCCGTGCTTGCCTTTCTGTTCCTTCTGAAGTATCTCTGACCTTTGGGATATTACAGGTTTACAAGGTGATAAAAATGGAAACATGAGACCCCGGCAGCCTGGAGGGAAAGATGCCCATGGTGAGTCCCAGGCCTTCTCTGGGGCCTCTTGAGAAAGCAGTGAGTTGGTCTCATGGTCCAGTCTCCTGCCAATTGGTACTGGCTTACTGGGACATCAAGTGTCTGAAACAATCTGTGAATTTGGGAGAAAGAGTGTCATGATTGACTAGTAATGTCTGCCATGGACACGGGTGTAGAAGGAAAAGCTGTAATGTCAGATTTCACCCCAATGCTAAAAATTAACCCTCTGATTACAAAGCAGTTCATTACAGGAGACACTAAAATCAGAATTCAGGGTGATGATAATTTGGAGCTGGAAATGTAGCTCAGTCCCTACCTAGCATGTATGAAGCTCAGGGTTCAGTCCTCAGAACCAGATCAACTGGGTATGCTGACATACTCCCGTAATGCTAGTACCACTTGGAGGTGGAGGAAGGAAGCTGGGAAGTTCAAGGTCATCTCTGCTACATAGAGAGAACAAGCCTGAACCAGAGACCCTGTCTCAAGAAGAAGGAGAAGGAGAAATGTTAACCTTAGACGGAGGACTTGGAATATAGCTCAGCAGTAGAGGGCTTACCTGTCATGTGCAATGTTCTGGGTTCCATCCCTACTGTCACCAAAAAAAATTGCAAATAAGTGAATAAAATTGGGTGTCAAATGCCCATAAGATGGGGAGCTTATGAATAGCAGGTTAAGAAGAGAAAGAAACACTGAAGAATGTGGTATGAGGTGGTAGGTGGCCTGGATTGGAATCCTGCTTTTTCCTCTAATTTGTCTCCCCTGGGCCTCAGTTTCCCCCTTGGTAGGCCAGATGCTGACGATGGCTCCATACACATCTGCCTATTTTGCTTTTAAAGTCAGAATAAGTTAATTAATGCTACTGCTGTTTTAAATGTCTTCATACAAATTCCTATTTTCCTATTTGAATCTTACATAATGTGCTCAGAAGGTAGATTTAATGAGGCATGAATCAGCATGGGTATTTTGAATATAAAATATCAAATATTGTAAAAATGGAACCAGGAAAGGAGGAACTGATAAAATAGAATTTTTAACCTCATTTTCGAAAGAAATGCCATCCTAAACAGGAGCAAGGAAGAGCTAAACTGAGTGGAAGCCTGTATGGTGTGAAAGTCCACTTGATACCACTTGTCACGCTGGGGCTGTCGTCAGACAGTGATGGGAGTCTTTCTGATGACAACTCTGAGAAGTGGACACTCAGCAGGAGTTGGCCAGTTCTGGTGAGGGTGGCTGAAGTATGGCTGCCTTTGGACCACACTAGCTGGGTTCATGGTTGTCTACTTTAAGATATTCCAGCTCCAACTCCATGGTAAACATGAGCCTGGACGATGTCAGATCCTGAGCCCCAGATCTGCCTCCCAGCACTGCCTGGGGCTCTTCTGGGTCCCGTGGGCAAGCCTAGGTAGATGCTGGCCATAAACCAACATCAGTGTCCAGTTTCTCTCTTCCTTTCTACCCTGGTGGCCTGATTCAAAAATCTAATCTCCTACAGGGAGCCTTTTATGCTTGTCTTGCCAAGCTTTCTTATACCCAGCATGCCTTGAGGTACCTTACACACCCAGCACATGGCTATGTGACCCTCCCTGAATGAGAATGCCAGGGTCCAGCAACACTGCTTGAATACTTCTTACAGAAAGTTTAAAAAAAAACTAAATATGAGATACCAGGGTCCAGCAACACTGCTTGAATACTTCTTACAGAAAGTTTAAAAAAAAACTAAATATGAGATACCAGGGTCCAGCAACACTGCTTGAATACTTCTTACAGAAAGTTTAAAAAAAAACAGTAGTTGTCTGGGCACAGTTGTGTTAGCCAAGGTCTTTAGTGCTTAATCTTCAGGGTCTTCAAAATACTCAAGCTCCTTGTGGATCTTCAAGATGACAGTAGGGGTCATCACAGTTCCCAAACCACTTTGTCCAAAGGAACCCTTCTAGGAGGTACAGCTCTTGGAGTAAGAAAGGTTAAACAGCCACAGATCTTCAGAATGATCATAAGGCTTGGGCTCACAGCCTTTCTCAGTGGGTTCCCTGCTGACCTGGTTTCCCTGTGTTTCCAGCTTACCCCTGGGACAGGTCCAGCTTGAAATCCATGCCCCTGGACCTGCGGCACTTTGAGAAACTTGATGCCTCTGCCTCACAGGTAGGAGAACTGGCCCCCTAGCTAAGGACCCCAAAGGTGACTTAGTCAGGATAACAAACCTACCCCCAGGCCCCTCATGAACACATCCTGAGTAAATCAGATGGGTGGTCTATGACTCTTTTCACAGTATACATTTGTTAGTTTCTTACGGTTGTGACAGGCTCACAAGAGGCAAGTTAACGGAGGAAGGATTTGCTTAGGCTCACGGTTTGAGGAGTTACAGTCCATCGGGCAGGGAGGGCATTGGCAGTGCGAGCATTGGAGGGCCAGACACATTGCAACCCCAGGCAGGAAGAAAACAGGCAGGAAATGGAACTGGCTATAACGCCTAAAGGCCTGCCCTCCAGTGACCTACTTCCTCCAACAAGGCTCTGCCTCCTAAAAGTTGAGACCTTCTAAAATAATAACACCATCTGGGGACCAAGTGTTGAGATACATAACCCTATGGAGGGCATTTCACTTCAAACCACAGCAGTACAGGTGAGGAACAGAAAGCCCAAGGGTTGTATCAAATACATAGGTGGTGTCTTGGTTGCTTTTCCATTGCAGTGATAAATGCCACGACCAAATGCACCTGGGGGTGGAAAAGGGTTTATTTCATCTTAAAACCTGTAGTCCATTATCCTGGGACATCTGGGCAGGAACTCGAAGCAGGAAGCCTAGAAGCAGTAGCTGATGCAGAGACCATGGAGAACACTGCTTACTGGTTTGCTTCCCATGGCTTGCTCAGCTTGCTTTCCTGTAGCACCGGGAGCACTAGCCCAGAGGTGGCACCACTCACAGAAAGCTGAGTCCTCCCAACTCAATCATCAGCTAAGAAACTGCACCGCCGGTGGAACTGGTGGGGCTATTTTCTCAATGGAGTGTTCCCCTTCCTAAATGACTCCAGCTTGTGTCAAGTTGACATGAAACTAGCCAGCATAGACGTGTTTTAGTAAATATTAACCGTGACCACAGGTCACTAAAGCTACCCAGATGCCCTCCTGGCTAGCCCCAAATGGAAAGAGAAAGGCTAGGGTGGCTCTAGGGCCTAAGATTCAACTGGCCAGCACATGGGTCCTGTCCAGCTCCCGCAGACAGACTCTGGCCTCCTGGGCCCTGCTCTAGCTTCCTGCCTGGAGGAAGAGTGGCTGGTCATAAGTGGCAGTGTTAGACTCCCATACTCCCCAGGCCCTAGTGCAGCCTGCTCTTTCTGCTCACAGGTGACAGTCAAGAGTGGCCTGGATGAGCTGGTGAGTGACTTGATCCAGGAAGCCCACAGCGATCTGGAAAGGGTCCGAGCCATCTGGATCTGGATCTGCCACCACATAGGTACACCACCAGGGGGCAGCACTGGGAGCCCTGGATGCCTCTTCCCTCACAGACTTCTGTTACCTCCTTAGTGTGAGGATAGAGTTAGGTCAGGGCGAAGTGTTCCCTAGTGCCCCAAGTAAGCAAAGACTAACCAAGGAAGGTAAAAGCCACCCTCTAGACCTGGGCCTTCACCCCAAAGCTGCCTTCCCTGGTTACTGGATTCTTAGTGTGCATGCTCTACAGAGATGAGATCCTGGAACAGGCCATCTCCAAGAAGGGTGGTCACAGGCTGAGGAGAGCACAGCTGTCAGAAGAGCAGCAACACCACCAGAAGGTCCTAAAGCAGTGCCTGGAAGGGCGGGTGCTCACTTCCCTGCCTCCTGGTGTCACGCTAGGCCGCTGGCTTCCACCTACTCCCGGGGTTTTCAGAGCCATCTCAGGGACTTAGGCCTGAGCAGCTGCCTACTGCTCTCTATAGGACAGACTTGGGAATCTCACCAGGTCCTGGCAAGCCATAGAGGGTGCTATCAAGGGCCTGCCCCTCCTTGCTGAGTCCTGCAAATGGGGAGATGGTGACCCATCAAGTAGTGGGATGGGCCCTGTTCCACCCAGATTCCCTGAGGTTCTTTTGTCTTCCAGGCAGAGTTAGAAAATGTACTCACCTACCCAAGGTCTGAACCTGAGAGAGGCTGCCTCCTCCCCTGTACCATTAGTTGCCCCCCCACACACACACACACACACGGTCTCCTTATGTAGCTCTGACTTGCCTGAAACTCTCAATGGAGACCAGGCTGGCCTTGAACTCACAGAGCTCTACTCGCATCTGCCTTCTGAGTGTTGAGATTAAAGGTCTTCACCAAGACCCAGGTAGTCCTCCCTGCTTTGGCCCCAAACCCCCTTTGCCACCTACACAAAAGGTGACATGTCCGTCATGTCCGTATCTGGCGAGGTTGGGGTTCTGTTTGCATGCATGCCACTGTTTCCTCCTGAGTGCAGCTGAGGATGGAGGCCATGCTGTGGGCTCTGTGGCTTTCCCTTCCTCTCTGAGCCAGCCTCAGCCACCTGGGAGCCCTGTGCGCTCACAGTCTCTTCCTCTGTCCCCCAGAGTACGATGTTGAGGCCGCCCAGGAGAAGGACCGCCAAGCCTTCAAACCCACTGACATCCTGAGAACTCAGAAGACCAACTGTGATGGCTATGCTGGCCTCTTTGAAAGGATGTGCAGGTATGAAAGGCAGCCCGTATTAGGCTGGAGTCCCCGGGGCTGTCACCCGACTGTTCTCTTTCTTCTGAAGCCCTCTGTGCCTCTGCCCCCATGCCAGGCCTGGAGCTTGAGTTTGCAAACTCTGCTTGGGAATCCAAGTGAGTCCTGAAAAGGTCAATTTCTCCCTTTTTAACACCAGCGTAATTGACTTTGGACCATCTGCCGGGCTTCGCCATGCATTAGCATAATGGCAGATGAATGCACAAAGATAATTTAGTTATAAAAGGCCCCTTTTCTGCCTGCTCCCTTCACTGTACAGCTGAAGGTTAAAAGAGTGGCAGGCCTGGAGGCAAGAGGACAGTGGCTGCTGATGCCAAAGGAACATGAAAGGCTATCCTTTGGTGAGGGAGAGGGACCTTTACATGAGGATGCCAAAAGTCTACCTGGAGAGGTCCATTGGCAGGAGAGCTTGGTAAACGGGCAGTGGTCCTCTGTGTCTTTGGGCCCCTTCTCAGAGCTATGGGCTGAGCGTATGGCACTGCTGCAGGCCTAAATGAGAGAATGGGCCACGTTACTTTCCAATAACTTCTAGACATTCTCAAGGCTGGAGGAGCCATACTGATCCCTATATCTCCCTATGCTCTCTTTGCTGAAGTCTCCTGGGTTCCCTAGGAAAGAAGCAGTAAGCCCTAGGAGTCACCAGCAAGCGAGCGAATGGCTATGACTACGAACCTGTGTGTGTTATATTAGGCTTTTATTTCATAGCTTTTTACTTCCGTTGATGCTAAGGAATCAAACCCAGGGCCTTTCCCAGGGAAAGCAAATAATCTCCCACTAACCTACTAACCCTCCTATGGTGTTTGAGACAGAGTCTAGCTATATAGCTCAGGCTGGCTTTGAACTCGCCTCGTGGCCCAGGCTGACCTAAGTGATAGGATTATAGGTATACAACAACTGTTCTGATAATAACTTTAAAAAACCTCTACTATATTTATTTATGTCTCTATCTCAGGGGGAGGAGCATACACATGCCATAGCATTCTTGTGAAGGTCAGAGGAATCCTCTCCTTGTAGCATGGGGTATTGAACTCAGGTCATCAGGCTTGGTGGCAAGTGTTCTTACTCACTGAACCATCTTGTCAGCACACTAATAACTTTGTTTAAAAAAATGCTTACTATTCATAATCTGCAAAATTGTACAAAACAAGGAAAAGAAAACTAAGTGACCCTGAATCCCCCACGTGGTCATCACAAACGTCCTTGTCCCTTCCCAGGCTTGCTCTTAGCACAGTTATTCCCTGTGCTCCTTTCCTCCCTTTCTGCCTCTGTGAACATCCAGCTCTGAATCGTGCACACAGTAGGCCTTCAATAGGCATTTACAGAGTGATGAGAAGTGGCAGGATATGCCTAGCAGACTATGTGTTTTCTTTGAAATAACAGAATACCACCACTATGTTTTTAGTGCCTGCCGGGCATGTTTTAGAATATGGTTGTTTTCATAGGAATTTGTAGATTTGAAAATACTTGGGTTTTGTTTTTAATTTATTCATTCTTTCACAATCTCATACATATATGATGTGCTTTGATCGGATCTCCTATGGCCCCCCTCTTATCCTCCTCCCTCTCCCTCAAATTGAACACCTTCTTCCCAACAGGCCCCCTCCTACATTCACGTCTTTGGAGACCACTGTATTTAGTTAGGGTTGTCTGCATGAGTGGGAGTTATTTAGTTAAACAAGGGCAATTTACCACTGAAAAATAGGACTCTCCCTCCCCCGGCAACCATGAACTACGTATAGCTTCGCAGAAAGGAGCAGCCCCGATGGAATGTCCTGGGCCTGTCCCAGCAGGACTGGAGGCAGCCTCAGCTGCTCAGTGTCCTTGTCTTGCCTAAGCCTCCTGGCTTACTGTAAAAGTGCCATTGGGCTCCCATCCCTAACTGCACACTTCCGGGTCTTCCAGGCCTCAGTTTCCTTATCTGTATCTGTTGGGGAGAGGGAACGTGCTATTTGGAGACATTGCTCAGCTGAATTTGAAACTGCTAGGGTTTTTTGTTGTTTGTTTTTTGTTTGTTTGTTTTAACTTGCCCCATCTTTCATAAGTATAGGAACTTTTCTCCAGACTCTGCCAGCCCACCCACATAGATTCAGAAAACTGACGCTTGCCTTGATTGAACCTGTCAGTTCTCTGACCTAGTCCAGATGCTAAACAATGGCCACATCCTGCCCTGCAGCTGATCATTAAAATACACCCCAACATTTTCCATCGGTTACAGTCTCAACTGAGCAGCGGCCATGCACAAAATCCCTGGCACTATGGGGATGCTTAACAATGGCTCCCAGTTCTGTGAATTCCCTTAACTGTTGCCTTAGAGATCAGGAACTCATTCATGCATAGCTTCCCTAAACCCCTTTGCCCCTGAAATACCTGCCAAACATTTGGCAAATTCATTAGCTGATTCCTTAATAACTGTAGACATGCAATCCACACTTAGTCTGCTGGGCTGTCAGGGTGGCCTCTTAGAGAGAGTTGTACTCAGGGGCCAGCGCTGCTTCCTGCCCAGTCATCTGCCTCCTCACAAGGCCTCATTAAAGACTGGTTTAATAAAGTGCTTTGGTAAGGACCTAGATATTTCCAGGCATTAGTCGTTTCCCCCTCGTCTTCCCTGAGTTTCCAATGTGACGAGTTTTGTTAGTCCTGTTCCTCGCCTGTGTGACTGTTGGTCCTGTTTCTTTCTGACTTTTCTATCATTGAGTATTAAGTCTCTCTTTAGCCTCCATTGCCCACAGTCTTAATTGATTCTGCCTAATCTTCTTGCAGGGGCCAAGGTTAATTCCCCAGGCTTCTGCCACAGAGTCAGCCTGCAGTAAATTCTCTCCCTCTGTAATCACAGCCCTAGCACCACAGCTAGCAGATTTTCCAGAGATTTGAGATAACCAGGAGTTTATTACCAGTCTAAGGCTTTGACATTGAGCAGGCTGGTTGTCACCAATCATATGTCAGCGGCATTTCCATCCATCCATCTTCTAGTGTCTCAGAGAGCAAGTACAGAGGCATGCCTGCTTAGACGGCTGCTGCTGGTCAGTTATGACCATAGTAACTGTCATCCGCGCCTCTTGGGAAATGTGGATCTCCAAGAGCTGAATAGTCTTTTTTCCTCTTTTCCATCAGTGTCAGAGACTAACCCCATAAGTCGTGTGCATGTTAACTAGCTCTGAGAACTCTCACTGAACTGCATCTCCACGCCTCCATTCAGTTTTTATTGGGAGACAGCATCTCTCTGAGTTTCCCAGGTTGACCTTCACTCTGTAACTCAGGCGGTTTTCCTACCTCAGTCTCCTGAGTAGCTGGGACTAAAGGCCTGCACCCCCAGGCCTGGTTTGAACAATTTAATTATTGCCAGTTCCAGCTTTGTCACATGAGACCTCTGAAAGGGACATTGAAAACTCCCCTTCCTTATAGATACACTGACAGAAGACGAGAACTTGAATTCTATTACTATAGCAAATCATCTTTTAGTTTTGCTGTGTACCACCAAAAGCCTTACAAATTAAAACAGAATCTTGGCCTGCCAAAGTCCTGGTGTAATTGAAAAGCTCTCAGACTCTGCCTCAGGATTGCTGTGCCCCAGTTTCATTGTGTCCCCAAGTCAGTGAGCATCTTTCTCTGAACGGCTGTTAGGCAGGAAATCCAAGATCGTATCTCATGAAGCCAGAGGTGGATAGATGTGTAGCAAGGAGAGAGAGATGCATAAATTTGTAGGAAATCAAGTACACACGTTGTGAGAGACGCCATCGCTTATGCTCTTCTGCAGTATAGAAATCACACTTTTTTCAGCAAGACAATGAATTAAAGGTGTGTGTCACTCATTTACAATGGTCAGAAGCTGCTGTGTGCAGAGTGTCCCTGCCTGCCCAGCCCTTCACCCACACTGCCAGCACGGCCTGGCCATTCAGAGGCTATAGCCGCATAACAGTTCCTATGGAAGGGCCTGGATCGTGTTTTATCAAATGACCGTTGTGGTCTTGGCCCATCACCTCTTCAGTCAGTATCCAGGGACACACCCCCAGCAAGCTGGTGTGCTCAAATCTTTGGTAAGTGACAAGGAAATGCATTCGTGGAAGCTAAGGCAGCTACAGAAGCCAGCCAGGGTCACCAGGTAATGCTGCCTTCCATTTGCCTGCACCTCTGCTCAGTGCATACTCACCAGGCCCCAGGGGATGGCCAACTGTGCTTCTGGAACCTCCCAGCAATGGTTGGCTCCCTGGGCCCTGATGCTGACTGGGGCTTGGACTATAGCTTTCTCCTGATATTCTGGGTGTCTCAGGAGACTCGCTCATGAGTCCTGCATGCAAGTTGGCTTTGCAACTTCAGATGCACATGTTTCCTGTGCTGACACACTGACACCAGTGCTGTTAGAACTGTCCAAAGGGAAAGGTTCCATCTGCAACCTGAGGCAGTTAAATAGATGGCCCTGGACCACTATTCAGCAGGTGGAAACATTCCTCACCCTTGATGGCTTCTTCAACAGTTCTCCCAGCTCCTGCCCCAGAGTTCCCAGTGCTTTGTTTTCTGGGGTCTCAGTGACAGTTCCCAGAGCCTCCCACTTCACAAACATGAGCACTTCCAAGGCAGCCACCGAGCCTCGTCTTGGGACAATCTCTTACCAGGTTTGTGCTGTGTCGTGTTGTGCTGTGGCCCGGTACCCACTCCTGTGCTTGACGCACCATTTATACAGCCAGTGGTCTCTCAATGACATGAAAAGGTCACGGATCGTGATCTGACCAGCAACCAGAGAGGCTGGATGCAAAGCTCCGAGTTCTACAGTCATTGTTTTACACATCTGAGTTATTTTACTTCATATAAAAGCTATGGATTATTGACAACACTTTACATTGTGACTTCTGTCCAATTCATCTTGCACACAGCTGCCAGATAATAAAATATCCCCATGCCATACTCCAGCAATGCATAAACTTACAGCTGAGTTCATTTTTCATCTTAGTTCTGCCACAGGCATTCCCCACGGCCCTTCCTCCCTCTCCTCGGCCTGTCAGAGGAGAATTGCCCCCGGAGATCACTTAATGCCAACCGTTCTTCTTGCCCATAATGAGCCTAGTAAGGTCACTGCAGGTGACTGTTAGAGGTGGGAATAGAGTCCTGATTTCCTGGCTGCACACTCTGGCCACCCATGCCAGCTTGGAGCAATATGAGTACATGTCACTGTTGTCCTTTCTTCCTCCTGGGCTGGAAAAGGCCTTTCCTGCTAGTCCTCACTTGCTTCTCCACACCTTCCCTCCTCTTCTTCTCCTGGTGGAAGAATATCCCCCAGCACATGCTTTAAAACAGACTTCTCCCAGGAGGAGGTCCAGACTGCCTTACATGGGTGCCCAGTTCACTCCAGCACCCAGAGGTGGCATGGATACTAGATGCGCCTCCCTCCCTCCCTCCCTCCCTCTCTCCCTCTCTCCCTCCCTCCCTCTCTCCCTCCCTCCTTTCCTCTTTCCCCCTCCCTCCCTCTCTTCCTCCCTCCTTTCCATCCTTCTTTCTTTCCTTCTTTCCTTGATCCTGACACTCTGAGCAGAGATCACAAGCACCATGGAACAGTCCAGAGCCCAGCAGTTCCACTCACCACTTGCCCTTACTGTGAAATGGGCCATTTCCAACACAATGGTTCTCAGGGCTTTCCTTTGCCTTCCACAGCAGACTAAAACTTATATAACACAACATTCTGAGGAACAGTAGGAGATAATTCACTGAAGGATATAACTTAAGTTTTGTGTATAGATTTCCCCAACTCTAAAAGTAACATAGAATCAGTATTTTTAAATGGTGTTATGGTCCCCTCCCCCTCCCCTTTTGTACAGTACTGGAGATTGAATCTTGAGCCTTATACATACAAGGCAAGCACTCTTCCCCTGAGCTACAGCAACGCCCCCCCCAAAAAAATTAAGCTGCAGAGGATTTTAAAGAAATAAAACCAACCATAATTCCATTACCCAGAGATCAAGGATCTTTCCCACCCTTCTCCACGCATACACACATTTCACTGTCTGTGCTGGCTTCCTACCCTGGGAACCTTCTGTTCTGGGACTCATTTTGGACATCACCAGCAGAAAATCCTGCCATCAGGGTCTAGCTACTCTTGGTGTCTGTCAACAGGCTGTCCCCAAGTGCTCCTGAAGTATTTTTCACAGGGCTCAGCTGCTACAATCTCGTGAGATTACCTGGGAAGCCCTGGGAGCCTGAACCCTCTTTGGCACTGTGAGCAGAAGGCCAGGAACCACCAAATGTCATCCCCTTAGGAGTCTCAGTGTGAGTGGTCTCAGCATGGCTCTGCAGGTAGAGGGAGGCCGAAGAAGACATGGTAAGGGGCCATCTTCAACTGCATGTGAAGCAATGTGAGAAATGAGGGTCCCTTCATTTTCATGATAACACATTTGCCCCAGTGACTCCACAAATGATGTGTTAATATTCAATAGTCACCATGGCATTCTACTGACTACTAGCCGAATGTTCCTCTTCATGGGGAAACCTCTCTCTAGCCTCACGGCAAATGCACGATCATCTTACGCCATTACTCTAAGGCCCTGTTGTTTAAAGTGATTGGGGGATTCAGGTCTGATTCATCCAGAGGGTGCCCCACTGAACAGGCCCTGCTACCTGAAGCCAGCATCAGAGAGATGCTCAGGGATTCACTGTGTGGAGGGTGGGGCAGTTGTTGAGGCAAAAGAGTTCCACTGAAGAGTCACTTTGGACATCCAGGACTCCATAGTCTTGTGTATTTATTATGCCAGTTCTACAGGGTGGGGGTGGGATGCAAGAAAAGTGTTGGGGCAGAGCTGCAACCTTTCCTAATTCACAGAGGCAACACCAGGGCATTGGCAGCACTGGGGCCAGCAGCTTCATGTGGGTCAGACTGGCACTGTCCATTCTTCTATAGCCATGTTGGGGGAGGAGCTGGTGAGGAGGAGAGTCAGCGGGTGTTGGGGAGGCAGGGCCTTCAGGGGCCCTGCTGATTCAGCCTTGGAGTGTTGGCTACAGCCCAGACTTGATTTTACGTCTCCAAAAGTGACTGGCACCCTTCTCCCACAATACAAGTTCCCCAAAAGTGGTGCCTGCTTTGCCATTAGCAATAGGAATACCCTGTCAAAGAGACCCCAAAGCCAGGACTAGCCAGTCAATGTTTCCACTCATCATGGAACAGATAGAGACTTCAAAATGGTGACTGTCTTAGTTAGGGTTACTATTGCTATGATGAAACACCAGGGCCAAAGCAACTTGGGGAGGAAAGGGTTTATTCAACTTACTCTTCTGCATCACAGTTCATCATGAAAGGAAGTCAGGACAGGGCAGGAACCTGGAGGCAGGAGCTGATGCAGAGACCATGGAGGGGTGCTGTTTCCTGGCTTGCTCATTATGGCTTGCTCAACCTTCCTTCTGATAGAAGCCAGGACCAACAGCCCAGGGATGGCACCACCACATCAGTCTGGGCCCTCCCCAATCCATCACTAATTAAGAAAATGCCCAACAGACTTGCTTACAGCCCAATCTTATGGAGGCATTTTCTCAACTGAGGCTCACTCCTCTGATGACTCAAGTTTGTGTCAAGCTGACATAAAACTAGCCAGTACGGTGACCCAGGCAGTCATCAGTGAAAGACATAAATGCATGGTGCTTTCTGTTCCCTGCTCATAAAAGCCAAAACTGATGGTCAGGTATCCTGGCAGCCAGTCCATTTTCCTTGGTCAGTTCTGGATACACCAGTCTGCTCACCCTTCCCATACCTATGCGGATATGCTTGGATGAGCATAGGCAGAAATTGGTCTCAGCTACTCCCTGCCCCCACCACCAGCACCCTCCCGGGGTGTCCTGGCTCTCCCAGCCTCTGTGAACAGCTCTCCCGTGTTGGTTTTCTTCCAAGAACATCTCAGTTTCTCTGCTCCCTGTGTTCTTGAGGCTGCCCTCTCTCTTGTCCTCATTTTTCCTCCTGAGGAGCTGTGCATCGGATCCTGTCAAGCAGGCCCTGGGGAGACACTACAGAAGTGAGCTGAAGTGTCCCAGGGGAGTAGCGAGCAGCAGGGCTGCAGCCAGTCTGCACAGGCAAGGCCTGCCAGCACTATGGCTTCCTGTCCCCACCCCCAGCACTCAAGCCCCTTCTCAGACACATGTCCTACCCCCAGGATCGCTGGTGTGCAGTGTGTCACCGTGCCTGGCTACTCCAAGGGCTTTGGCTACCAGACTGGGCAAAGCTTTTCTGGAGAGTTCGACCATGCCTGGAATGCTGTGTACCTTGAGGGCCATTGGCACCTGCTGGATAGCACCTGGGGCAGTGGCCTGGTGGACACTACCACCTCCAAATTTACCTTTCTGTAAGTACAAGGTTCATCTTTGCCAAGTGTCTGGTCTGTGTGTGGGGGTGGGGGGCACAGGTTGAAGGAGAGGGGTATCTGGGAGAAGGGAAGGGCCAAGTGGAGAGAGCATGGCTAGACAACTTTGCCTAGCTATAGTCACCCTCCCCAAAGCTGGATCACTTGTGAGGAGCCAGAACTTCTTGTCACCTCACCCTTCCATGACTAGATCTCTCTTCAGACTGCCCAAAGCCCCTTCCAGCTAAACACAGGAGCCCCTTAGGTTTGCCCCAGACCATACGTGAGGAGGGGCTAAGAAGCCTCACTGCCATCAGCTATGTGCCCAGATGCTCCATCTCCTCCTCCTCCCACTTCCTGGTCTCTGAAAAGGAAGAAGGAAGAAGTCTGTGGTTGGCAGACAGGAGAGCTGCAGGTAGAGCTGAGCTGCCCTGGGGCCCCCACGGTACAGGCTGGACTATGACCATCCTTTGAGGCTTGGCCAGTCCTGAACTTAAGCTCCAGTCAAACATGACTTGTCCCTTGGCAGCCTTGGTCCCCTTTATTCAGGAAACTGACTGTCCTCCCGGGTATGTGCAAGTGAAACCCACAGCCACTCTGCAACCATCGCTTACTCTCAACAGTGTCCTCACTAGGCAGAGCAAAGCCTCCCCAAGCCCAAGCTGGGTCTCTATTTCCTTCTGTCTCCATCTCTGACCAGTCCCAAGGAGCCACAGAAGTCCCTCTCCCCTGCACAGCCCCCCAGGAACAGGGACAAGAAGGGTCTAGAGGAACAAGAGCATTGGCACCTTGTCTCCCACCTCTCAGGCCCTCACTGCCCACACCTGCTCTAAGGGTCATGCTTTTGCTCCTTTCAAATTACTTTTGGGCATTAAACATAGAGGAAGCCATCTTTTCTACCCCACCCTACCCCTAACATCCTAAGGCTCTGAGAGCAAGCCACGGGTTCATGCCGTGGCCTAATCTCAGAAGGAGCCTCGGATCCTGTGTGACCCCAGGGTCTGCACACCACTACTGAAGAAGAGTCTCCAGTGCCCACATTAGGACCACAAATGGTACTGCTTCCATACTGTTATCAGCAATACCCCTCCAGTGGTTGGGTCAACTAAATACAGATGTCCCAAGCTCCCCTGTGAGATGCCAGATGTGGTGAAGGTCATCAGGTCTATTGCTACACATGGCTCCTAACCAGGTCTCTCTCCACTCCAGCTACAACGAATTCTACTTCCTCACCCACCCCGCCCTGTTCATCGAGGACCACTTCCCAGACAACAAAAACTGGCAACTGCTGAAGCCACCTCAGTCTCTGAGGCAGTTTGAGAACAATATGTACCACAAGAGTGAATTCTACAACAAGGGCATGCTGAGTGCCCACCCAGAGACGTCCATGATCCGAACAGGTAAGGAGAAGGAAGCCCACAGGCAGGGCACCAGTAGTGACCCAAGCCACTCCCACTAGAGTGAACCAAGAAAAGCAGACCACCAAGCCTAGCGTCTCCCATGGCTGGCCTGAACTGACGTTTGTCATCCCCTGACACACCATGTTAACCATGGCAGGTGGATGCTTGCACACTCTGAAAAGCAAGACCTGATCCCAGAATCACAGTCATGGGTCTCAAAGGGCTCGCCCTAAAGGACTGTTTCCCATGACTCTCTGAGAATCCAGAACCTGGTGCTGAGCTTGGCACACAATGGAACTCAGGTAGGCTGGTCAGTTCAATTCCCCCTTCTCATCAGAGCCCTACTCTTCCTGTCAGCACCAGCTCTGTCATCAGGGGGTCTCCATGCATCCCAGACATGAGCTCCTAGAGGCAACCAACTAGGGTGGCCTTCAGGATGATGGCGTTGACCCCACCCTACACTGTGAGGTGATGGAGTAAAGAGATAGGGCAAGGGGTGAAGCCAGGGAGCAGGTACCTCTTGCCCCTTGCACTTCCCTGTGGATTTCTTGACCTGGATACAGAGCTCCCCTGGCCTCTGGCAAGTAACAGACATGTGGCAGCTCCGGCTGCTGAAGCAACAGCAAACGGCTGCTCACTTTGAATCTCATTTCCTGCACCTGAGGCTGCTGGAGGTCTGTGGACTCTATTGTGAGGTGTTAAACCACAAGAAAGACTCAAGCAGACCATAACATCACCGTAGTTATGTCGCTGAGCTGAGTTTGCCTTTTTGGGAGACAGAAAAAAAAATGTAAACACCAGATTTCTTAATTTATACTAATCTAAACGCAATTCCATATTCAGGCTACATCTTGAAAGACTGTTTCTTGGTGGATGTGAATTGCCTTACGTATAGAGATGGGAGAGAAGAAGCAAGAGAGGGAAGCTGAGGTGGGGAGCAAAAAGGAAGGGAAGGAAGAGAGCCTCGAGAGGGGGTCAGTGGGTGCAGGAGGGAGAAGCAGGGAGGACAGAGGGGTGCCAGGCATGGCTCCTCCAGAAGGCCTTTGGGAGCCCCAGTACTTCACCTCCTTTGAGATGCTCAATGCACTTCCGCCAAGGCTTCTCTAGGACAGGCACCAAGCTCCTCCCAAAGAGCCCACAGCCCAGGCAAAGTCAGAGGATGGAAAAGTGCTCCCATGATTCATTCTGAAAATGGTGGGCTCTCTGAAAGTGTCCCCCAGTCCCCCTTTGGTATGTCCCAGCTCACCTGAGGGCTGGGGTAGGCTCTTTGTGGCCAGGTCTTTATGGTGAGTCCTCACCAAGTATGGCGTGGAGGATTAATAGTGAACATGAACCAGACAGCCTTCTCTTTGCCAGCCTCCATCCATGAACATGGTTGCAGAAGCTTCTGGGGCAAGGGATAGGGTGGCCAGCTTCTAACAGAAGGTAAGGCCAGGCTCTCAGAGCAGGTACTGTCCTGGGGAGTCAGGTAAGCCCAGACAGAAAAAGCCCTCGTGAGCTGCAAAAGCCAGGAGAAAATCAATGACCTAAATAAAGGAATACAAAAGTACAGGTCAAGGTGGAGCTGGAGCGAGAGTGGATGGATGGATGGATGGATGGATGGATGGATGGATGGATGGATGGGTGCATGAATCTGCCAAAGCCCACTCCAGAATCACAGCTATGGCACTCCTATGTGAGAAGCAAGTTTGGGCAGGGGAGAACAGGAAATACCCTTTCAACACTCCTGGACACCACTCCCTGGAGTGAAGCCCTTCCAACTGGTTATGGTAATGTGTTTATATGACAGCTGTTGACACTATAAGATCACTACTAGGGAGTGATATGAAAGCAAAGAGTTTCAGGGCTGGGGAGACAGCTCAGTGTTTAAGAGGACCTGAGTTCTGTCCCCAGCACACACATCCTCTAGTCAGCTCAGTCACTTGTAACTCCAGCTCCAGAGGATCCAATACCCTCTTCTGGCTTCCATGGGCACCCACACACAAGCAGCATTCACGCAAAGACATACAAACATGCACATAAAAATAAGTCCTTTTTTTAAAGAGAGATAGATAGTTGGAGGAGATGGCACTCTTTCTGCCCTTTGAGCGCTTTCCCTGCTCTAGAATTAGGTAATATATCCAGATAGGTTTCACCTGATGTAAACCAAATGGGATAGTAAAAGAAAGGAACACACATGGCTGGGGCTCCCCACCCCAGTTATCAGCTCTTTCAAAAATATTCGCCTAAACGAAACAGAAGAATACCATGTTCAGTGACATCACATTGTAAACTCAAGCCTGGTAGAGAGATTTACACCACAGACGTGAACACACACTGTAAGTGAGATCTAGTTATTAAGCATTCACCAGAACACACTGGACCAATGTCACCTGACCTGGACTTCCTCTCCACAGTGAATGGGAAAGCCACGGTCACCATTGAGAGCTGTGCTCCAACACTGTTCATGTTCATGCTCAATGGCAAGCAGGAGCATGGGCTACTGAGCCTCAGGAAAAACGGGATGAAGCTGGAAGTGTACCCTCCAACCATGGGCACCCACAAGCTGCAGATCTTTGCCAAAGGCAACTCTGAAATCTATAGCTCAGTGCTTGAGTACACACTCAAGTGCAACTACGTGGACCTCTCTGTCCGGCTGCCCGCTGAGCTTCACCAGCCCGTGGGCCCCAGCTGGTTCTCAGAGCAGATGGGCATCACAAAGCCCTCCCACCCTGACCCCATCATCCACACCAGTGATGGTCGCTGTTCCATCAGCTTTGGCGTGGAGGAGGGCATCAGTGTCCTGGCATCCCTCCATGGAGACGACGGCACCATCACCGAGGAGACGCAACGGCGCTACATCTTCCAGTTGGACCGAGAGAAGAGGACAGAGCTGAAAGTCCAGCTGCCCCACGCTGGCAAGTTTGCCCTTAAAATCTTCGTGAAGAAGAGGCAAGAACAAGGCAACTTCATCTTTGTCTTCAATTACCTCCTGTGCTGTGCCAACACCAAGGTGAACTGGCCTATGTTCCCCGAGAGCTTTGGCAACTGGGGGCAGGGCAATGAGCTGCTGGAGCCTCTCTCGGGTGTGCTCCCTGCCAACCGCAACATACCCTTCAAACTGAAGCTTCACGGTATTGCCAAAGCCCTGGTGAAAGGGCAGGACACGTGGCCCCTGACCCTCAACCCGGAGGGATACTGGGAGGGCAGCTGCAACACGGCTGGCTGCCAAGAAATCTATGTCATGGTGCTGGAGAATGCGAACCACAACTTCTACTCCTACATCCTGAAATACAAAGTGAATGACCAGTGAGGGGCTGCAAACCCACAGCCTCCCAGGGCTAAGGCCAGCCCCGCCCAGGGAGAGCCCAAGCCAAGTGCAGAGAGCCTGGGACACCACTATTCTGCATGAAATCACTTCTAGGCCTCTGCCTCAATCTCCCTGCTCTGCCACAGGCACTGAGGAATTTGTATTGCTGATGGTTTCACTCAGCGTGCTTGTGGATGAAGGGACAGAGGCAAAGGCCCTTTAGAAGAAAAAGGTGCTATGTAAATCCGAGGTATTGTGAAGTATATCCCACGCCCATGCCTGCTCCTGTGTTAGTACCGTGTTGTAGAGATGGGTGGGAAAGCAGAGATGTTGCCCATGCTGAAAGCTTTCCACACGATGCCTAGAGAATGATGCTTGAGGCCGAATCTATCAGTGAGATCAGTCACCCCACAAATACAGTGTTCCTCTACTCCTTCTGGACCCCGGGGAAAGTTGGGCCTGCTCATCTTCCATATTCCTAGTGTCTCTTCGGTAGCCACTTCGTGCTCTTCAAGAGCTTGTGAAAAGGGAGATGGGGAAAAGAAGCCAGCTGACAATCAGCCAACTAGAGGCTGTTCTCTCCCAACCCCTGTGAGTCTCTGAGATGTGACAAGGACAGAAACCAGCTGTGTGCACACAGGATGTCCTGGGTGGGGGACCAGGGATGGAGTGGTGTCTTTGGAAGTCTGGCAACCCACACTTAAGGGTGAAGATTCCCGATTTTGTGTACCTACCAGAGTTCAGCCCTGCCCTCCCAGTCTGAGGCCAGGCCCATCACCAGTTTTTCACAGGAGCATCAAATGCCTACACAACCAGTCAGGAGCCTGGCTGATGACCATGAACGGAGACCTGAGTCCTGGGCAGGCAGATGAGCCCCAGAGAAACAGCAGCAGAACCAGGGACAGTATATGCTAATAGAATTCTGCTGCTTCCAAGACCTTACAAGAAAAAACAGGCTGACAGGACCACCACATGCCCCTGGAGGGAATGCCTGTGCCTGTCTCTGAGAAAAAGCCCTATCATAGCCATTTTCCCTCCTGTCTTTCTCCGAGATGACAACTCCTGCCCTGAGTTCAACCTTCTGTTGGGAACAGTTGAGGGCCTCTTGCTTGCTTGGGCCTGTCCTAAAAAGCCTCAGCTGCCTAGCTGGCCCTCAGCAGCACCTGAGGCTGGTGTTTCCATGGCAACGGCTGAGGGAAAGGCAGGCTGCAGCAGGCAGCAAGCAGGGAAGGCCTGAGAGAGGCCCCAAGAGGACACTACAATACCGTCCCAGTGCACAGGTACACTTTAACATGGTCCCCACCAAACTTCTGTGTTCTAGAAGTCTGCTTGCTCTGCCTATCTCAGAGCCCCAGCCCTCACTTCTGAGAGCCACTCCATGTGTCCTCAGGCTCAGATGCAGCCAGAGCCAGTCTGGAATACTCATAGCCTCCGCTGCATGGCCCTGTGTTGGATTCTGGGACTGCAGAGATTAACACGAAGGACTTGGCCACAGCCATCCAGACCTCTGGGTTGGGTGGTCTGCCAGGTGGGGCAACTTCAGTCCTTCATCCCTTTCAGGCCCTTCCCTACAGGTCCCCCACTGCCACCCACCTGGTACCCGGAACCCACCCTCCACCAGACTGGGTAGCCTCACTTGTGATTAGCATGGCTGCTGGGGGGCTGAGCCGCCTTGGCTTGTGTCCTGGGCCCTCTGGCAGACTCTACCTATCAGCATCTTGTCATTCACTCCTGGAAAACGCACAACAGCCAGGGAGGCACCACCGCTACACACCACTACAAGGTGGAGTTTGCACAGCCTGGAAACAGCCTTTCCTCGCCCCCTTTTATTTTATGAGTGGAAAGAAGTGTGCTATGTTTTAACAAAATTATAAGTGCTCCTGCGATTCCTGCCACACACTAGACACAGCCCTCGCTGCCGCTGCTAGCCCTGCAGAAGACGATAGCCATGGTTTTCAAAACAGCATAATTAATCCACGGGGAGCTTGTAGAGGATGCTACCCCCACAAAACAGGAGCTGTCCTCAGCACCAGAGACCCAGGCCGGCCTCTCCCAGCCCGCGAGTCATCTGCACGCCCCTCCCTCCTCATTTAACCAGGCAGCCCCTTTGTCAAGGCAGCTGTAGGAGCACTCAGAAAAACGCCTGCATTTCTTTCTACTGAAGTAAAGATACATGAAACTAAATCCAATCTTCATGAATTTTTACACGCATGCTGCTCAGGCTGGAAATTTGGAGGTTGCGTTTTTGAAGGCTTTTTATTCAAATCCCCCTCTTTGTCTACCGGTCCACGAGTCCCGGGGGCCGATCGAATGGCACGAGCGCCCCCTGGTGATCTATATGAAAAGTTGCAACCCCCAACTGGATCTATGATTGTTTAAAATCACTAGGTGCTTCCTGGGCCCTCTTGGATACGCCGAGGTCAGCGTTGCCATGCAGACTGTGAGAACAGCCTGGGTAGACTTCCTGGCTGGCGTGGTGAGAAAACACAGAATGTGATAAGAATTAAGAGTGTTTTGCCCAGAAATCTTTTCCTGAGACAGAAACCCTGGACACAAGCCTGCCTGGCCAAGGTCGCTTTTATCACACTCATTGCTGTACCAATTGTCAGGCTGAAACTGATCAAACCCAACATTTTGCCAGGCAAACCCCAGGATGGGTGCCAGGGTGCAGAAGGATGGGGCGTGGTGGGGCAAAAGAGTGCAATTAACCTCTTTTCAGACTGCTTCAGAAGTGCCACCGGCTCAGCTGGACTGCTCTTGGTCTGATTGTGAATATTTTGAGTTCTCCATATGTCTCATTGTCCCACCAGGATGGACTTCTCAAGGCCCGCTGAGATTAAAGAGACCGTAAATAGATTAACTGAAGCATGAAGGATTTGAGCTAGATATAAAGAGACATTTCCTGTTGTTAAGCAGGAGGAACGCATTGCCAATAAAGTCTGTGAAATTCTCAAAGGACTTGAAAAGGAGAAAAGTTTCCCCGGTGTTCTGGAGTTTTCTTTCCCATGCTTACTGAAGTGGTTGGGTTCTCTCTCCACTAATTCTTGAGTCACACTGGTTGGCCCACAGTAAACCTGGGGTTAATGGTGTGACATATGGCTCACGATTGTCAGATTTCAAAGGCACTTTATCTGAGGTCTGTCATTTCTTTTCATTTGGAGTAAGTATCTAAAGCTGCAAAGGTGACTGTTTCTTCTAACATGTGCGCTGAATTGTGTGGGTCGCTGGCTGTTGAAGATGCTCTCCTCACATTGTTGCTGGGGTTGTTTTTCAATAAAATTTATATTCATTTTTATCCAACAATGTAATTATCGATCCATCCTTATCGCTGCTCTCACAAGGAGAAAAGGGAAAAAAAAACAAGAAAAAACACTTTCATGTTCAAAGGATGCTTTTAAAAAAGAAATCAATGTCCCTGCCATTTGAATGTGATGGCGAGATGCAAATGGGATGTTGGGCAAATAGCTACTCCACATTAAAGAAAACATAATTAGGTCAGGCCCAGCCCTCTGCGGCTCACGTGCCTTTGAAGAATCTAAAGCCATGTTTCTTTCATTGAATCTTGTTTAACTTGAACATCTTAAAGTCAGTCCAAATTTCTTTTTATAGTGGGAGAAGAAAAATGTGCCAAAAATTTGCCTGTCAACCTACTTTTTGGCTTTTGAATATATAATATATTTCCTGATATTCATATATATACAAGAAACTTTCTAGGTTGCCTAAACTGATTACTCATAAATTAGACATTTAGGGGACTAAAGGAAAAAAATGAAAATCCAGACACCTCTGAGAAACTGCTGTAACCATGGAAACCATTCTCATAGCTGTAGTGTGAAGGGCAAAAAGATTTGTGTTCCCAAATCTGGGCTTATCGCGTCCCTCATTGCTAGACACAAAAATGAGATGTGTTATACTCTGTCCTTGGGGTGGGGGTTCATAGTGGACTGTCATCCATGGACACAACAACACTTTAATGACATGCTAAGAAGTCAGAGCAAATAGTCTTCGGGTCTTCCAGTCAGTAGGACTAACTCTTGAATTGTTGGAACATGCTGGAAGTTTCCACCCAGGGACTGGAAGAGATTGATCTCCAGTGTTCCTCCCAGCCCAGAGACTTTTCCAAGCTGTGTCTCTGGGAACAGATAATGGCAGGCACCATCCTGGGATTGTCAGTTAAACAATATCTGAAGGGCCCTGCTGTGTTAAGAGCCTGGCCCTCTAAGCCCTTGGCACACTGCACTGCAGGCCTTTCTCTTTCCTGAGGGCAAGGGGATGTGCAGAGCCTAGCAGATGGACCACAGGGAAACAGCAGCCCCGACAGATGTGGGTTCTCTATGATTTGCAAACAAAACTAAAGAAGACTAAGAGCCCCCTGGACAGTCCTCTCTTGGATGTGTCCCTAGGGAGACACCTTGTTCTCAGACCTCCATTCAGAAAAAAAAAAAAAAAAAAGGATTCTTAAACCACTCAAATTCCCAAGGAAGATGCATAGGGGTGACCCATGACCCCTTCATCCTCCAGGATAAGATCTGGTCCATTTGGAGGCTTCTCGGGTCTTCTCTCATCTGTCTTTGCATCACTGAGAGCGTTCAGGACCCCACATTCCCTCAGCACCACTGTTTGATTCTCTATGTGCCAAGATGAGCCCTGCCTATGCCTTTACTGTCTATACTGACCTCCAATCTGAACAATGACCCCACTGAGTGGTTTTCTTGAGAACCTTCCCAAGGAAGCTCGATGCCTCTGGAGAAGGCATTTGGTGGGCAAAGGAAGTTTTCAAACAAAAATTGGTTTTAAGTCTGAAATCCTACTGTCAGGAACATTCTTGATCCCACTTGATCTCACAAGCTAAGCTGGGCCAGACCCGGTTAATGCTTGGATGGGAAACAAAGGATGATTTTAATGAGAGAATCAAGAGAGTGCCCAGTCACCTCCTTTCCCTCTGGAGACAATGTGCCAAGTGTTTCACTCTCGGGACAGGGTGAAGACAACTCTTCTCACTG